TTTTTCTCCAGCAATCTTGTTTTCCCTTTTTTTAAATGATTGTGACATTGTGATTGTATGCAGCCCAGAGTCAGATTCAATGAAATGTAGCTATATAAGTTTGTTGAATGAATGAATGAATGAATGGGCTCAGATTACCATATTTTGGATACATTATGTGAAAAACTCTTGAGCATTGATAATGCTGGAAAAAATAGATGGAAAGCAAAAAAAATAGAACAACCAAAAGAAAGGTGAATGGACTTGATTACATGGTGATAGATGCACTGTTGGAAGATCTGAAGGTCCAAGTCAAGAACAGATCATTCTAAAGTACGTTTATATGTGGGGTTACTATGAGTTGCCATCAACTTGGTGGTAACATAATTATAAAAATCATGAATGTATTTACATTTTCTTCTTAGTTTACTTGATATTTGACAGTGTTAAATAAATAGCATTTCATATGTAAAAGAAGTCTGCTATTTGACAGCCAAATGCAAACTACGGACCCAAAGATTATATATGTACCTTTTCACCAGAAGTACCAGGAACACCAATCAGACCATTTTCTCCCTAAAACAAATTGTAAACTGCATCAACTCTTATTCATTGGTCATTAAAAATATTGCATTAATGAAGAAATAAAAATAATTAAAGTTCTTCCTGCAGCCTTTTCTGTCCTTTACTTTCCGGCAGAATATCAAAAACACAAAAAGGTAATTGGTACCTCCAGGACAGAGAAGAAACATGAATTTCTATTACTATTGGAAGCTTGGAGAAAAGTGCAAATGTCATAAATATTGAAACATCAAATAACTGACTCAAACCTTTTGTGCACTGTGATATTTGAAACTGTTTAGAACTACTATATGTCTAACTTGGGAATAATTTCATATAAATGAATGATTTACTTATGGAAGATAAGATGAAGATGCACTCACTGAATTCTAAACAACTTTCATAGGCTCCATTAAGCCAGCTGACATCTCATCTAAGATGGAAAAAAATCCTCAATTCTGCAGCAATGCATAGAACAGACCTTTGTAATCTGGGTATTCTCCAGTTGTGTTCAACTCCTAGATTTCTTAACTCCAACTGCTTGGAGAGTTCTAGGAATTGAGTCTATATATCTGAAGATTGGAGAAGGCTGATTTGAACTGCTAATATTGATTCTGAAAGGGAAAATGTTTATCAATTTAAAATTAAAACAGTGACCAGGTCTAACAGAAATCATAAATGAATTTATTTTTCCATCCATAATATTTTTATTCATTGCACCACTACTATTTTTCTTGAATATTAAATTATAGAAATGACTAGAATGCAATTTTGCAATATAACTAAGGCATGGTTATATGAAACTTTTTAGAACTGGCTTGTAACATTGCGGTGACTGCAGTTACTGTTCACACATGAATGTGCTTGTTTGCTGGTGATCGTACTTGGAAGATTTTTCCTGGTACCATCAAACCTTTCTAAAAGTGGTAAGAAAAAATAAGACATATGGCTGGAGAGTGTGTTGCGTGTTATTGATTGATTTAGATTTGTAGGCCACCTAATCAGAAAACTCTAGGCAGCATACATAAACACTTTTCAAAAACATATAAAACATACAGAGAAGTGCAGAATATTAGGTGGAGGTAAGCAATAGGTAATACACTGAAATACCAATCATCCATCCTCTACCAGTCAGGATCACAAATCACTTGGCTTCTGGTTTATTTGAAAAGCCAGTTTTTAAGAACTTTTCTAAAGGATGGCAAGGTTGGAGCCCAACAAACTTTTGGGAGGATAGTATTCTAGAAGGCAGGAGCAATAACAGAAGAGTTATACCTCTGCATTCTTCAAGGCAGCACTGATTAATTAATGGGAAGTGAAAAATACCCATTCTGTCAGATTTGATTGGATGGCCAGATCATTCCATAAACAACCAGGCTCTGAGCCCTATAGGCATAATAGCTGACAATCACCATCTTGAATTGCAGCCAGACATCTACTGGTAATCAGTGCAACACAGAGCACAAGAGTCTCAGACCAAAATATCAAAATGGACCCTGATTGCTTGTGAAGCCATGTTCTGAGGTAGTTCCTGAGTGGTCTTGAAGGACAATGCATGACAAAAACCCAGATGCAAGGTGACTATGAATGGGATTTTCCAGCCCCACAAAATTGTTTTCCAATAATAGAAATATTGTATAATTGATACTATTCAAATATTAAACACAAAAGCCACATTAACATCTGCCCTGTGTCCCCTGCCCAGCCTATTTTTAAAAAAAATTCAGAATTGCAAAGTCTGGTTGTTTACAGATTAATTGTTCCAAAAACTGTACAAATATTCCTTACATTTAAATAAAATCTAAATAGCTGTCACTTATGTTCATTGCTTTTGGTTCTGCTGGTTCTGAAAATGATCCAAGAACTCCTTTAAGACAGGAATCCTACCTTTGTTCCAGGCAAACCAGGAATGCCATTTTCTCCTTCAGCTCCTTCTTCACCCTATACAAAGTAAATGTATTTAGGTAAGTCCCATTGCTCAAGTTGTAAAATATTTAATAAACTATTTAACCCTCCAAATGTGGTTCTTTTGCTTGATCATGGATTGTTATTGAATAGCACAATAATACTACAAGGACAAGAACATAATGAATAATCTGTAATTTTATATAGTGACTTGAAAAATTCTGAGAATGTAAATATGCTTTTTCTACTAAATGATATTTTCTAAAGTCATATTTTGTGGAATGTTTTGCAAAATCATAAAACTTAGATTCTGCTCAGTGGAAAAACCAAGAATTCAATGCACTGTTTAGATAGGTGTCAATTGTTATGTTTCATGCAGAGGTTGACCTCCTGATTAACCTTATTCCTTACAATGTCCAGTGAGTTTCAATAAAGAAGCTGGAACTGCCTCTTGACTAAGAAATCTGGAGAACTGCTAATCCAATAAGGATGCGTTTTTCTCTTGGTTGTCAGCTAGCAACCAAGAAATGAAGGTGAAATATTAAGAAGGGCAAGTCATCAGATTTTTTCAGGAGTCTTCTGTCCTGAGTGGTCCTTCAATTTTCCATCAAAGATAGAATTCATCAGGAGATGAGTTCAGCTGAGATCTTTTGGACCAGTAGAGCCTCAAAGTCAAAGACTTTTTGGTGCTACATTATACTCTTCTTTCTCAAAGGTAAAGGTTCCCTTCGCACATATGTGCTAGTCGTTTTTGGTGCTCATCTCATCTTTCTCTACCATAGTCATATTTTTCTATGATTTACCTTTTTAAAAAAATTCTAACCTGTAGTTCTTCACCAGTCATAATTCATAAATGAATCCTGCAATTGGCCATTTGGAAATCCAAGGATGAATGAAAATAGTGATTATTTGGTAAACATGTGCTTGGAAAAAAGCATGTGTTTTCAAGTATATTGTGATTTAAGCATAATACAGGTGGAAAAGAACTGAGCATATCAGGAAAAAAATGTAGAGAAAGTTTAATACAGTGGGAAAATAGTAGTTAAATATGTGTAGGAAAACATAAAGAAGTAGAGGTAAGAAAATTGGTGCTGAATAAATGTATATGGAAGATAAATGTGAGTGATGAGAATGAAAGAATCATATTGTGGTAATTTGCCTATATAGAAAAAAAAATAATGAATTGCAAAGAAAGAAAGAATGGATCAAAAGGAAGAGATAGGTGAAGGTAATGGTATAAATTACTTTTAAGTATGTTTTCTTTTCTTTTTCTTATTCTTATTCATTTAATTTCTTTGACTCACTATTTCTTATTGCTTTTCTGTTCTTCTTGTCCCCCCCCCCCCCAAAAAAAGAGTAGCTTGAAAAGTGGGTGTATATTTAATTACTATAATTCATCTTCATAAACTTTGAGATATACACTATTTATATAAAATATTAAAGTTGATATTTTTTAACCTACAGGATGGTACAAATAGAACTCTTGTGTCAAACTCTGGTTAGGTTAAAGCATAACACCTAATGCTTATCAATTTTTTTACAATGAACTTTTTACAATTTTTTATCTCTGAAAAAGTTCAAATGTGCACATCAAAATGGACACAAAAGTAATCCTTAAATATATTCCATCTGTGTTGGTTCAAATTCCAGTTAGATCAAACTGCAACTTTTATTTAAAAAAATTAAAAAAATTGTGGCAAAAATGGAATAGGAAATGTGGGCCAGTTCAGAGGTGGTATTCAGCAGGTTCTAACCAGTTATGGAGAAACGGTAGCGGAAATTTTGACTTGTTCTGAGAACCGGCAAATACCACCTCTGACTGCCCCCGCCCCATCTATTCTCTGCTTCCTGAGTCCCAGCTGATCGGCTGGGTCTTTTATGTTGCCCTGCGCAGGAGAACAGAGCTAGAAAGCAGGTTAGTGGGAGGGAATAACATTTTCCACGATCCTTCTCCCAGGAGTGGGGGGGGAATGGAGATTTTATAGTATCCTTCCTCTGCCATACCCACCAAACCATGTCACGCCCACCAAGCCACGCCCACAGAACCGGTAGTAAAAATTTTTGAATCCCACCACTGGGCCAGTTTATCTTGGTACTGTAATTCAAATGATTGTTTGATCATCCAAGTCTGCCCTTGATTTGCTGTGTAGTAAATTCTCAGATAAGTACCTTACCTGTTGTTTGTGCTGGACATGGCTCAACATTTTAAACAAATACATTAACTAATTTGTTTCCATTAACAATATGATTAATTGCAGTTTGTCCAGATTCAACAAATGGAGCAAATGCTGTTAATCATAAATGAAAACAAACATTTCCCCCCTTAATACTGAAATAGAGGAAAAAGGAAGGACATGGGCTAATATGGATGGTCTGTTTTTAAATCATGCTAAATTTTAATTTAGGTTTACATTCATCTATCCATCCTGAATAAACATTTCCACAGGAACTTCAGAAAAGTTTTTCCTTAATACATCATTCCATAAATACATTTAGGCCAAATCTAATCCTAACATTAATATTTTTTATTCTGCCATGGGCTTCAGTAAGAAAAGTTATTCTTTTAGCATCTGCATGAATAAAGGGATATTTAAAACATTAGCTATAATACTTTTTTTAACAGCACTAGTAGTAACAAATTAAATGAGCAAAATCCAGAGTGCATCATGAAAATAAAGACAGAATCTGCAACAGAATCTGAGATAAGCAATATTTTTTTTGAGAAATATTTCCAACCCTTATTATTCCTAAAAAATATGAGGTTATAATTGGTAGAAAGCAATTAGCCAAGGGACAAAGTTCATATTATTTTTTAAAAGGCATTTCTGCAAGTCACTATGTCTTTTATATATAGTAAATTGCTTCTATAGAAAATACCCTGTAGCTTTTATACCTGCCTTCTTAAATCACACTTTTCATTCACAGAAATTCAAAGACCTGCACCTGTAAAATCCAGCTGGCAGCCCTTACTTATTGGCATGTGAGCAGGGGGTTGAGCAAATCAAGTCACACGTGCTGCACTTGCTCCAGAAATTCAAATCCAGTGAATCAAAGTAATGATGTTTAGTGCTTTCCATTGAGTGGTTTAAATGTAAGCATGTTTAGTTCGCTCAGTCTCATCAGCAGGACAACATTTAAATGACTATATGCTATTAGCAAGCACTACAGTATTTAAGAAAAAGAGTAACATGGGCAGAAATGACTTGTGTCAGCTTTTTTGGCTACCCTAAGTAAGCAGTCTTACATCATGTTCTACTTCCTGTATTGTTTCCAGATATTTTATCCAGGCTACAAGCCTGTTTGATATCAGTATTGGTATATCCTGGCATTTTCTGAATTTATACACAACTCTGTCTACTACTTACATTTTAAAAAATAGGGATGATTATAAAATGATACTTAATATGCATTCAGTTGCTTTATAACTATAATAAATGAATAAACTTTGGTTGGTAAATGGCCACTAAATAAAGGAAAAACCCTAAACCAAAAATGAAGTACCACTAATTCATTCTATCTTGCAACTGTGATACTTAAAAGTTCAAGTTCAACCAGGCATTCAGCTCACCAGTACCTGATCTATGGTAGGATACTAATATTGTCAAAAGGTAGTTTTGTAGCACATGGTTGGTTATTTTCATTATTATTTCATTACTTCCACCTCATCCTTTTTCATCAGTTATTATTATTGTAGCTTTCATAAATCACAACACAAAGTATAGTAGTTTCCTAAACTTTAAAAATGGTAAAGTATGTATAGCTCTGAATAAAGTGTTGTATAGTATGCCAGTCGTAGCCTGCAGCCCATTCAGATTTTAAATTAGAAAGTATAAAGGATTTAGAAATGATAAAACTTGAGTTATGCAATAAAATATGTGCTATTTTTTATTTTCTTGAAAACAAGATTATTGGCACTTTTCAGTCTCATAATAAATGAAGCTATCAAATTATTTAAAATGAACTGAAGTTAAAAGGGAATATTAAAATAATAAGAGCATGTTAATTGAGTGAAATGTATGCAAGAGCATTGGGTTATGGGATACACACATACACATCATTTCATGTATATGAATGGGCAATGGGTAACAGGAATCTTGAGATAGTGGTAGGTGACTTAATGAAAAGACTTAATGCAAACATTATGTAAAAGGCAAATGGTACATTCAAGGTCATTAATAAACAGTCTTTTAACAAATCTGTCTACTACACTTGTAATGTTATTTATTTATTTCAATGTATATGACTGTCCATCTCAAATTCATAATGTTGGGCACCATATAAAAGCCCATGACAGTGAAAAAATATATAATTGATAATCAAGATAAAAGCTCAACCAACAAATCAACACAACTATTGTGGACTACGCCATACAGCTGTAATATGCAATTCTGACCTCTAATATCTAGAAGAAATATTACAGGGTGGAAAACATTCAAAAAATATGACAAAAATGACAAAAAGCTTAAAAAATCATTAAGAAAAATATAAAACCTTTTAGCTTTCAGGGTAAAAAAAAAAGGTAAACAATTTGGTTTTTATTTTGTTGTACTGCCTCTTTAAGATTGAAAATTTTTCAGAACTATAGCTACTGGATGAGTTTCTCTTCAATCCATTTAAAAGAATGAAAACTACCTTTTCCCAATTTTATAAGATCTATTTTTGTAACTTTTTGCAAAATATAGCAAAAGAGTGATTTTAGAGTTGTTTCCAAACAGTTTAAATGTTAAGCGTATGTGAAACCGATTTAAATAAACTTTTTGAAACTATTTAGAAAGATCCTCTTTTATGGAAAAAACTTACTTCGTTTACATTTCAATAAGATAAAAATAAGATTTTGAAGGTTGATTACTAAAGCACTTGATGGCTACTTTAAAGGAAATCTTTGATCTCTGGGGTTTTGAAATAACTGGAACTTTTTTTATTGGAAAAAGTTGTCACCAAAGATGAATAAACTCCTTCGAAGACCCACAAAATAGACTTTAATGTGAACTTGAATAATTATTTAAAAATAAAAAAGATATACAAATAATGTACCCAAAGAGCAATATGGGAGATTTATTAGAGTTACTTTATAAAAGTACAAATAGGCCTGGATAAAATTGATAAGAATGTCAAGAGAAGAAAACAGGAAAGAGAATTTTAACCATGGGATTTAAGGATGCCTGGAAGATGAAAGGAAAAAAAGTATGGCATTGGTTTATTTGACCATGGTTAAATAATGAGTTGCTTAATTCATTATATAAACTCAGCTTGAATTGTAAAAGATTATGAAAACTAAGTTTAGTCCTTGACATTTATCAGAATTATAACTAAACATTTTTTAAAGTCCTTTATAGCAGGGGTCCCCAACCACCGGGCCGCGGACCGGTACCGGTCCGCGGAACAAGTCCTACCGGGCCGCTGGTTGCTGGGTGCCGCCATCTTTTTTTGATGAAAAAGTGCTTCCGGTGAGCTTTTCCGGGTAGAAAGCTCACCGGAAGCACTTTTTCATCAAAAAAGATGGCGGTGCCCAGCTGATGCTGGTACCGGGCCGCGGCGCCCAGCTGATGCCGGTACCGGGCCGCGGCATAAAAAAGGTTGGGGATCACTGCTTTATAGCTTTCCTTTTCCAGAACAGTGATTGTGATTTCCATAGCTTTGTTCTCTGTAGAACAGAGGGAAAAAATATAGGACCTTAAACTCATTTTTAGTTTTTCCTCCCATGTAATTCTAGACACAAACAACTTTTTCTTGCTGAATTCCAGACAGTCTCAAGTTAGGGATTAAATATGTTGCATAGATCACTGGGCACAGCTTTATCTCTTGATCAGTCAAAGGTCACTTTAGGCAGCATGATCCCCAGAGGCATAATTGAAAAAGGAGAAAGGAATGTGTTGCTGAAATTTGATATATAGAAAATGCTGATGATGTTGAGATATTGTAACAGTATTTTGAATGCCTATTAAAGCACATCCTGATTTATATTTAGTACAATCAAGGCAGAATTGTTTTGAGTATATTTCTCACAATTTCTACTTTCCCAGAAGGTTACCTTGGCAACAAAAATTGGATTTAAATTGGCCACAGCATTACTAATGGAACATTGACAAAGGAAATATGTTGGGTTTTTATGGTATCTTACTATAAGCCTACAAAATATGAGCTGAAAGTGAGGTTGTATATAATTGTGTCAATAGTCCAGTATTTTTTTTTAAATGAAAGCCACAAAATATGTTCACATTTAATGGAATAGTAGGGGAAAGGACCTGATATTTTTCGTTGTATTGGCAATCTAAGCATTGATTTATCAAATTTCAAACAAGCAACAAGGCAGACATTGATACCAGTAGGAAATAAAAATAAGAATGAAAAGATTTTGAAAACCTTTTCTACTGATAGACTGTCATTCATGACCGCCAATTTTTTGATTATCAAAGTAGTATTCTATTAATAGAGGTGAAACAAAATAACTTTGTGAGGGAGGTGGGTGGTTACTAAGTTTGATATGTAAATAAATAAAAACAAATAAAATGTTAATTTAAACTCTAACCATTATTATTCATTTTGTAGAATTTGTTGATTTTTAAAAATAATTTATTTTAATTGAATTACAGTTAAAGAATTTTTATAGCATGGATCGACTCCACTGCTTATTTGCCATACAGTACTTGAAAGTTGTTCTAGGTGATATTATAATTTTTTTTTTGGTTATTTAAATATGATTTCAAACTTTAAAAAATTGAAATAGTATTTGTACTGCGACATCCTTAACAGATATGTTGTTGGCTGATTAAAAAGCATAAAAATAAAATTACCAAGAAATAAAAAGGCCAAGGCAGAAATAGGGCAACCTGTTTTGTACGAGAGAAGGGAATGCCAAATATTTGAAAGCTTTCAGAAATTGCAAAACACTAATGAAAGCACAATGAGGATTGGAAATTGCCTGTTGACAATCCTACATGAGGTGTATAAGGGAACTCTTTTTTTTCCGGAGGATTGTTCTGTCCAAACACTTTGGTAGTTTCAAACTAGGAACTGTAAGAATGGAGAGTAAGGCATTTATTTATTTATTTTATTTTATTTATTTATTTGATTTGCCAATTGTTTACAAGATAATAAGTATAAATGTATACATAGTTGTGAATACATGAAATGGGTACATATAAGAAAAATAAAAGAATAAGAGAAACAATAGGACAGGGACGGTAGGCACGTTGGTGCGCTTATGCACGCCCCCTACAGACCTCTTAGGAAAGGGGTGAGGTCAATAGTAGACAGTCTAAGGTTAAAGTTTTTGGGGTTTGGTCAAGAAGGAGCATTGAAATAACATCTAAGCATGATACTGTAGCTTTTGCTATGGGGAGAGGTATTGCCTTTTTTCTTAAGTCATGTATAGTTCTCTTGCATGTGCACAGAGAGAAAGAGAGAGAGAGAAAGAGAGAGAGAGAGAGAACTATAGCATTAGACTTTATGCAAATACATGTAAACTTTATGCAAATATATTAAAATAAAAAGTTTTTCAAGATGGGGGATATATAAGTAATTACCACAGATTAATGTATTTGAGCTCAATTGGCATTACATGCAAATAACATACCTCTATTCCACTGAATTTTTTAAATTGTGGTTTTAGAATCAGTGATTGTTTTGTTTTTAGCCAAATAGTACTTAGCAATGTTAAAAACCTTTATGAAACATGAACCTGACAATTATTTAAAATTAAATTCAAACATGACATAACAATCTCTGAATTATGATGGCCTTATAGCCAAAATGGAATGATATAAAGTAAGAGCCAAGTACAAGTAGTCCTTGAATTACAACAATTTGTTTAATGGTCATTTGAAGTTACATCAACACTTATGACTGTTTTACACATTTACGACAGTTGCAGCATCCCCATGGTCACATGATCAAAATTCAGATGCTTGACAACTGACTCATATTTATAATGGTTGCAGTTTCCCAGAGTCATGTTTTTGCAACTTTCTGACAAGCAAAGTCAATGGAGAAGCCAGATACATTTAACAACCATGTTATTAACTTAACAACTGCAGTGATTCACTTAACAACTGTGGAAAGAAAATATGCAAAATGGAACAAAATTAACTTAACAACAAAAAATTGGGCTCACTTGTGGTCATAAGTTGAGGGCTACACGTATTAACATTCTCAGAAAAATATCACAACGATATTTAAAATATATTCAGGGAGTGAAAATAAATATATTCCAGAGAGCTTGTATGGTTTAGAGTTAATGTGCTGCATTTCCACCCTTTGGCATGAAAATCAGCTGGCTGACTTTAGGTAATCACTTCTTTTCATCCTTTCATTAACAAACTCTGAAACAAACCAACTGAAATATCTATTAAAAATTACAGGTGGTCCTTATTCAGCGACTATCTGAAGTTACAGCAGCATTGAACCAGGAAACCTATGATGGATCCTTGTAACTATAGTTGTAGCATCCCACAGTTACGTGATTGACATTTGTTATGTTCACTGATGGTTTCCTACAAGCAAAGTCAAACCATCAGGAACTAGCAAATGTGCCTAATGACCTTATGAGATAACAACAGCAACTGGAACTGCTTGAACTGCTGTCATAAGTGGTCATGTGACATGTTTTAAAACTGTGTAGCTTAGCAACAGAGTTCCCAGTCCCACTGACCACTATTAAATGAAGGATATCAATTAACATCATTTATTGATAACTTTAATTCAATAATTGTAATAACCAGAATCCAAAAGAAGCAGTCTGCAACAAATTATAGGAACACCATATACTAAGGGCGGGAAATGAAGACTCTAAAGAAAGCTGAGTGGGCAGAGAGTATTTTGAATTTTGGAATAGAAAAAATGAAAAAAAAATATGGAGGTCTGATTGAATAGAGATTGAATAGAAAGGATTTGGCAGGGAAAATAGCTGTTGAAAATTTTTACCTTCTGTTGTTGTTTCACTTGCTATTATTTATTTCCCAACTGTTAATAACAAATAAAATTATGCCTAAGATTCTAAAAAAATCTGCTTATTACAAACTGGACATCTGCTTATTACAAACTGAAAAATTACACTTGCCAGGCAGTTAAATAACACTGCATTGAAAGTTAAATGAGAATGTTGAGAAGGCATCAAAAAATAAATAAATCCAAAGCCAAAAACCATGTGATTAAAAAAGAAAAATCACACCCAGCTTCAAACCAAACAACATCCATAAAGGATTCTTGCCCTGAAAACTGGAATTGCTAAAAACAGAGACAAACAAACAAAAAGCCTAATTAAACTCTTTGCTTAAAAAGAGTTACTTAAATGATGTTAAAGTCAGTGGCAAGCAAATCTGTCTGGATAGAACTTATCTCCATTGGGAGATTATACCAAAGAAAGTTCTCTTCTTAACAAATATGGACATGTAAATGTATTTCCAGTTTCTTAAGAACCAACTGCACTACCCAAATAAAAAGACAGTAGAAATGTTGCTGGTAAAGTCTTACCTTTTCTCCCTTCTGGCCTGGCAAACCGGCTACGCCTGGCAATCCTGTTTCTCCCTGTTGAGAATAAAGCTAGGATATTTATTCTAGAATCCTATGCTGGGGGGAAAAGTAAACAATGCCCTACAAGTAATGACCTTACAACAGGGATGTCAAACTTGCTGCCCATGGGCCGGATGCGTTATGTGCTGGTCACCCCATGCCCAGTTTAGCAAATGGAGGAGGGGGAAGTCTAGATATGTTATGTGATGCCGCCACGAGTTTGACACCCCTGCCTAACAGGGTAAGTATAAAGTGTAATTGTATGCCAGAGCTCCATCTAATGCTAGTATTACTGATAGAAAAAGGAAGTGCTTTGGTGACACCTACAACTACTACAACAAATCCTACTCTGATCTTGCACTTGTTGCTCAAGGTGTTCAAGAAGTCTAAGCTGATGTTTCTTATTGGAATAATATTGGGTGATATTAGAAAAAAACATTTTCTCTAATGCAGAGAGAAACAGTCTTGTACCTTTATCCTTGGAGTCAGGAATAAGTAGCATTGCAAATGCTGCTGAATTACAACTTACACTATCCTTCATTTGTAGCTACAATTGTATGGATTGATAGAGATTGTAGTTCAGCAACATCTGGGAAACAGTAGCTTTTCAAGCCTTGTTCTAGGCCAGAGCTGTCAAACTCGTGGCCTGTGGGTTGGATGAGTCATATGATGGCCACACCCAGTTTAGTGAAAGGGAAAAAAGTCGCAATGCATCATGTGATGCTGCCTTAGAGACTTTACATTTCTGGATACGTTCATAGATCTTATCTTCTCCCACTTTTTGTTTTCCCTCCTAGAAGATAGAAGTAGTCCTCAACTCCCATTCATTTAGTGGCCGTTTAAAGATACAACAACACTGAAAAAAATGACATATGACCATTTTTTTACACTTATAACTGTTGCAGCATCCCCATGGTCATGTGATCAAAATTTGGGCTCTTGGCAACTGGCATGTATTTATAACAGTTGCACTATCTGAGGGTCAGAGGATCACTGTTTGCAATCTTCCCACTGGCTTGTGACAAGCAAAGTCAATGGGGGAAACCTGTTCCATTTAACAACCACATGATTCACTTAACAACTGGAATGATTCATTTAACAACTGTGGCACAAAGGTTGTAAAGTGGGGTGCAATTCACTTAACACTTGCTTTGCAATGGAAATTTTGGACTCAATTGTGGTCATAAGTTGAAGACTACCTGTCCTTTTTTACAAATATGTGGGATATCATCATCAGCAGCATCATATATTCATTATCATAGTATCTTCTGTAATTTTAAAACATTCTATTTTAAATTATTAATTTTCTGTGAGAAACAGAATAAACTGAGCTGATTACTATCATCCTTGGTGCACACAACCATACATATGTACAAATAAACCCAACATTATGTATTCAACTTTTTCACTTTATTTTAAAATTAAAATGGCAGGTTAACAGATATATGTTCTGACATAAGAATACTTTAATGAGACAGAAATAGTGAAAATCAAATATATTCTAGTGCAAAATATCTACTGCAGCTTGATGTCTTCTATGTTTATGAAAAGTATATGCAAATATCATTATTTTAATTGATAATGCTTTATGAAAGTCATGAAAATTGCCTGGCTCAAGAGCTTAAATGATACCCTTCTACTAAGGAGAGATGCAATTTTTGTGCAATGCATCTGTTATTGATTCACAAGTGACTACTGCCATACTGATGTACAGAACTGTCCCTGCTTCTAATGTATTTGAAATGTTTATGGAAAATGCTGGTGTCCAGTGTCCTCATATTGTTTTGTTCATTGTTTTAATGTAGAGGTTGCAACAATTGAGCTGAGCTATTAAATGACCCATACTCTTCCATGTTGGTCAAGATACTTAGCCAGTAGCTCAAGTTACAGATAACCTTGCTAATGTTTTGAAGAATGGGTTCATAAATTAATCTTTCTGTAAGCAATCACTCATATTGTTTGGATATCCCATCATTGCAACGTAACTTAGAGAAATATTTTTCCAGTCTATTTGAAATGACTATTATCATCCTTTATTATAGTAGATTTGTAAGCTGTTAACTTCCTAGTTGGTGTCATCCTTGTCATCCTGTGGGTTTTATAATCAAGAAATTCACAGAAAATACAGACTTCAGATAACCTTGTATTATTTTAATTCAGTCATTCTCTTTGCAGAGCAACATATGCCTCTATAACAGAATAAGAGAGTTGGAAGGGACCTTGGAGGTCTTCTAGTCTGTTCAAGCAGGAGACCCTATATCATTTCAGACAAGTGGCTATCCAATTTCTTCTTAAATTGTTGTTGGAGCACCCACAACTCCTGAAGGCAAGCCATTCCATGATTAATTGTTTTACCTGCCAGGAAATTTCTTCTTAGTTCTAAGTTGAATCTCTCCTTGATAAATTTTCATCTGTTGCTTCTTGTCCTCGGGTACTTTGGAGAATAGGTTGAGCCTCCCTTCTTTGTGACAACCCCTCAAGACTGCTATCATATCATCCCTAGTTTTCCTCTTGCCTCTCATATGCATAAATCAATTTATAGAAAAGCTTTTCCCTAACCATATCAAATAATAATTATAATTTCTAAACATGGCCATTGATCATGAAGACTTCAGATTATGAGAATTGTGGCCTGACACATCTACTGTAGATGATATAAGGCTATAATAGAACAAAATACTGTGCAACTTTCTTTAATATTCAATAGTATATAAAAAAGAACAACAGTACAATATAAAATAAAAGATTAAATTGAACTATACATTTAATAGATCATATGTGAAAGACTATAATTACCTTGTTCTGAGAGCAAAAACATTTTTCTTCAGGATTTTTTTCCATTATTGGAAGAGCTTGTATTTTACCAATGTGACCAACTGATGGTGATGCTGCAGTAGTTTTCAGGTTTTTCTCCAAAGGATGCTGAAATTATGAAAACATATTATCTGGACTGAAGTCTAGTTCATTAAGATCAAATTATACTATCTATAGCATCTTCTGCATCTTCAGAGACTACATTTCCATGGTGAATTTTTTTAAAAATAACCTGTGTTGATAGGTTCAGCAATCTGAATTGAAAATCTGGCAATAATAATGTAATGGAATTACAGTAAATGCTGTTATTGTTTTAAATAGCTATTAGTTTATATTTACTTAATCCATAGATAGAGTGCACTATGCTACAAGCAAAATGCTTAGAACATATACTGATAGAGTAAAGCCTCTGAAACAACAGGAGCTCCAGTGCAGATCTTCTTCCTGTGACACTGATGTTCTTCTGTTACCTTCCATTATCTACCATTTGGATGGTAGATAAATTTCAAGATTTTTTTTTTTTACCAAAGTTTAGGAAGAAGTGCCATCATTATTCTTCCAGAGTTTTAAAATATACTTCTTTTAGCTTGTGTTTTTATGTCTATTGTATTTATTTTTTAAATAGATATTTCACTGTGCTGCACAAGTTCCCAGAACATTAGGTCTGGGTAGAACATTTTTTTTAATGAATAAAGATTGCATCATCAAAATTAAAAAAAAAACTTTCAAATGATTTTTTCACCCCTTATCTTGTTCAATCATCCCCGATTTTCAGAAATTATCTCTAGAAGTCCCTGCAGTTTTTTCAGCAAGATTTTTCAGAAGTGGTTTGCTGTTGCTTCTTCCTAGGACTGAGAGAAAGTAACTAAAACAAGGTCACTAGCAGGTTTTGGGTCTAAAGCAGGATTAGGTTTTCCAGTTTCTAGCATGACACCAAACTTGCTTACTTCGAATAATAGGCCTCACTAATAATGCCATGAAATTTTGATTCATTTTGTTAAATTTTTATTTTTATTTTTCCAACTTACCACATGTTCAGATAATTCACAACAGTTCTCCTGAGCAGCAAGGCTTGGATCACAGTATAAGATCATGCGGCCAAGTTCAATCTATTTAATAAACATGATGATGCTTATCAGTTGAGACGTAACAACACTGAAGCCTCTGTAGCAGAAATCCATCACACCATTAAATAATTTGACCCCACTGAAATGATGTGTTTAAATATCTCTAACCGAGTTTTGGATTTTGGCCATGAACTTTGAAAAAACATTAAAGTTTCACATTTTAAAATACTCCATTTGCATTTATTATGTTAGCTATCTGAGCAACACAGATCTAATCCAATCATACCAAATTTAATTTGAACCCAACATGTCACTTCTGTATATCTCTTTATAAAAAGAGCTGGATTTATGACAACAGCTACTGCAGTTTAATGCATTCCTTTGGTCAGCTCTCTGGCCATTTGAAGATTTATTTTTACAGATGGAAATCACCTCTCTCCAAATTATAGTACTTTAATTCAATAAAATTAGAGTTTTATAAAAACTTTGCTAGCTGTGTTATTAATTTATCACTATATAATACTAGGATTATTTAAATTAAAACTTTAAGTTACAGCCTTGCTTAGGTGGTTGAGGCAGCGTCACTGAAGCCAAAGAGGCTGGCCTCATGAGAGAGGACTATTGCTTATTGCTTTCTTGCCATGAAATCAGAGGTAGTATTCAGCAGGTTCAGATCAGTTCTGGAGAACCAGTAGCGGAAATTTTGAGTAGTTCGTAGAACCGGAAAATACCACCTCTGACTGGCACCGCCCCCATCTATTCTCTGTCTCCTAAGTCCCAGCTAATCGCTGGGTTTTCTTTTGTTGTGCCTGCACAGGAGAACAGAGCTGGAAAGCAGGTTAATGGGGTGGGGATGAGATTTTGCAGTAACCTTCCCCCAGGAGTGGGGAGGGAATGGAGATTTTACAGTATCCTTCCCCTGCCATGTCCACCAAGCCACGCCCACTACACCATGCCATACCCACAGAACTGGTAGTAAAAAAATTTGAATCCCACCATTGCATGAAATAGTCCCAGGTAGGAAATACAGCAACTGGTTTTGCAGCTTTTGACAGAAGCCCAGTTGAAACCATTCAGCTGCAACTATAGAAGCACTGCAGGAAGCAGGACAATAGCAAGGATGAAACTTTGGTAAAACTCTATTTTTTTAATTAGGGACTTAGACAAATCTCAGATCCTTTCTCCCTCTCTCTTTCCACATATAACCCCAGAATTAATTTAATAGTCCCACAGAGTTACAAGTTTATTTTAAAATATCTATTTTCTTTGGAAACTTAAAAAAATCTTTGAAAAAAACACTGTTAAGCTCTTTTTACACCCCTTCTAATTGGTTTTGTTTGTAATTTAGCAATGCAATCTGATTTACTATATAGATTTATAGTATCCTCCCATTCACTCCATGACTATGGTTGGCTGAACTTAGGGGTGGGATTCTACCAGTTCGCACCTATTAGCTAGAACCGGTTGTTAACATTCTAAGCAGTTGGGAGAACTAGTTGTTAGAAGAAATCACTGGCCTAATCCTGTAAGGAAGGCAGGAAGGAAACATTCTGGTGTTGCTTACAGAAACTGCCTCTCCGTTAACCCTTATTACATTCTTGGCAGGACTAGGCTTCCTGTCTCAGGAACTTCTTTGGAGTTTTTTCCCCCTCCTTTGCTGGTACTTTGCTTGTGTGGAGTGACCATTCAAAGTTACAATGGCACTGAAAAAAGTGACTTATGACCATTTTTCACACTTACGACTGTTGCAGCATCCCCAGTCATGAGAGGCCAGGCAAGGAGATGCGTGCCTCGATATGAGTGAAATTGAGTTGGTCACGCCCAGCCAATAACATGACTACCAAGCCATGTCCACCAGTCACATGCCCACCAAGCCATGCCCACCAACTAAGCCATGCCCACAGAACCGGTTGTTAAAAAGTTTGAATCCCACCCCTGTCTGAACTGAGAGCTGAAGAACCTTCTTGGATGAGAAGCGAAACATCTTCAAAGGAAAACAAGAAAATCCAGTTGCCTCTTGAAAAAACATCTTTGGGTTCTCCTCTATTTCTGTTCCCGCATCTCCATGTCCCTTTCAAAGTGCAGTGACCAGTACTGGAGACAATATTTCAGGTGTGGTTGAGCCACCATGGAACACAATGAAACCATTGTCTCCTGTGATCTAGATGTACAGTCTTCATTTTGCTGAAATAGCCTAAGATTTTTTTAGCTACTTGCCTGTGCTCATCTATTAATCCACTAGTCTGCTAGATTTTTTTTACATGTCACTAAACTAGGCTGTTCTATTTGGCTTTTCCTACCTAGAATTTTCAGTCAGTGAGTCAGTGAGTCAATCAGTGAGTCAGTCAGTCTGTCTGACCGTCCATCCATCCATCCATCCATCCATCCATCCATCCATCCATCCATTTATCTATCCACCCATTCAATAGAAGCACTATTTTATATCTGAAAATTGAAAAAAGAAAATACCTAACATCTCTTAATAATAGATTAATTTTAATACATTTTAGTCTAGGCTTTATACAGAACCATATGCACAATACAAGAAAGCTTGAACTTTCTATATAACTGACCTATGGGGGTTGTGGGGGGAAAGATAATATTTTTAAATTATTTCATTCTAAGAAATAAAGTACTATTTCTAAGAGAGTTTTTTTTTCATACATAACACACTTTATAAGAATGTGCATGCTATATCATACTCTTTGTATGCTAACTCTTCTGTGAGAGATTTATTTAGTCTCTGGAAAAAGAAACCAGATGGAAGAGTCAATGATGACCTTTGAAAAAAAAGAAAAGGATTAAGAAATGAAGGAAATGTGACAAATACCAGAGGCAATGGGCAAGAAGGATACAAAAATAAAAAACGAGGAAAGGATAAATAAATATGAACATGCTATATTTCTCTTCTCTGTACTTCTACTGTGAAAATTAACTGAATGGACAATATTGGAAAGGTTCATATAAGTTGGTTACCAAGTTATTAAACAAAAATATTAAACCATCCATCATACATGAAACAACTGAAGTCCTGTAGCTATTTCTCACACCTATTTTCCTGTGAAAAAACACAATTGTCTTAAACATAACTAACAACTCATATGTCAATTATCTATCTCACAGTCACCATGCATGTTAAAAACTTCAGACTACTACATCAATTAAATCTTTCAGTTTTCCTCTTAACATTTTTCTTTGTGTCATATATGTTATGTTGTTTTTGGTTCATAACATTGCTTTATAAATTAGCTGCAGTTATCCATTCACATAATGGAATAGAGGTTCATATAAGATGTTTTAATTTTAGATGTCATTTTGTTCAAAGTTTATGAATTTAATATTACCCTCGTTGGACGAGATTCGGGTAAATTGATAAAAAAGATGCCACATTCTTCCAAAGGCCACATCCTTCTGGGAACAAATATTCAGGCTTTGATGCTGAATGAAACCAAAGGGGTGAATCCATATAACTGCTCAACATTGCTTCAGCAGCAGAATACTCTGTAGGAAAGCTGTTGATTCTTTTGGAGTGATCACAGATTGGAAAAAGGCACAGCTGTTTGGTTAGATTGCAGCAGACAATCCATCTGGAAAAATGCTGAATAGAAAACCTTAGCCTTTAGAATGACCTTGGAAAAAAAACAAAGTCTGAAAAGAATGCCATATGGTCCAGATAAAAAGCTAGAACATGATGGATAGCCAATAAGAGCAGAGATGTTTCAATAGAAATGAGGAATTAGGACAAAAAAGCAAGAAATATTATATCCTAATTCAAGTGAAAAATAAAAAAGGAGGAAGTTAGATCATAAAAACATTTTGTCCTCCCAAAAAATGATGGATAGTCTTTTCATAAGACACATGGTTCTTCAGCCTGATTAGTTGAAGCCATAGCCACTAAAAGCTACTTTTTGAGATAAAAAAAAGATAAGTAATGGAATAGCCATAGGCCCAAAGGGTTTTAATCTTAATTCAGGGAGAATACAGTAGAGGATCTCTCTTATTCTAGAAATGGAAGGGAAGCTGGAAGACAGAGATATGTAAGTTTTTTCAAAAACACTCTAATCAGTAGGCTGGGAAAAAAAGAGAAACATTTTTCCTAAAAGAAAAATAAAGTAGAGATGTCAATATGGTGATCTCTTTTAAGTAGAGGAGAAAGTCAAAATGTCATAAATGTATTACTTTAAGGGAATGAACTGTTATCTGTGAGGAAAGTCCAGAAAATATGTTTTGTTTGATTGCATTGGAAGCCCTAATGAAAAATTAGGAGCTAATGACAAGTTTATAATTCAATCAATTTCTTTCCAGAGAAATTGCAGAACTAAACTCTCCAAGTTGGAAAGCAGAGAGAATTGGGCTATCTGGAAACCTGACCCTAATAAATGGAGAGTAGATTGGAGCAGTTCTAAAGGTGGAGATTCTCATATGGGTGAGGCAAGGCACAATTGTCAAGGTTATCAAAGTGTGACAATAAAGCAGTTGGTCAAATTCTTTTTGATCTTTTCCAGAACATAAGATGTAACATAAAAATAAATGAACATAAAAAAGGGTCTCTAAGTAAAAAGAAAAGGTATCACAAAAGATTGGTGTTGTAGCTATTTTATCCTGCTATGAATAACCCATTATTATTTCATGTAAACAAAGAGAATAAGCTTTGGGTTATTCCAGAGAAAATTAATAAAGTCTATCACTGATGATATAATACCTATTTGTATTCTAGAACAGCTAGTTTAAATGTGTTAATTTAATTTGATGCTTTATACCTGGATCAGGTATCTCAGCTGCAGTGGGCTTCAAAGGGAGTAACCATCCAGATATGGATAAATAAAGAATAAGGACATTATTAAAAAGAATTCTCTGAATGGAAATCCATTGGTGATATTGTCTGAATTCAGCCATCAGTGCAGAAATTCTTCATTGCAGTGCAGAAGTGGGAACACAAATTGCCCTAAAGTTGTATCAGGAAAAGAAGACAGAGGTATTGCACCTCTAGAAAGTGCATCTGAAAATCAGTGAAGTGAATGACTGAAATCACAGCTATCACACATACAAACTGTAGAGCCCACAGGTTCAATAGCAAAGGTTCTAAAAACTTGTTTACAAGATAATTTCTGAGGATTTCCAGGGAAGGTATATTAAACTGAAGATGGTTCTGGGAAGGCAAAGCAGATGACTGCAACAAAGAATCAAGAAATCTGTGAGTAGATTTGTTTCTTAGAGCCTCTTTGGAGAAATTACCCTCATGTGCTCGGAACAGCTGTTCCCCATTAGAAAACTGCAGGATGGTGGTTTTCCATACATTTGAATGCCTCTAGATAATGGGATTAGCCATTTTGCTCAATTGTAAATACTTTTAAAAGGACACTATGTTTGCCCATTAACTGTATTAAAGCTATTAGGGACCCCTGGAATACAAGTTTGAAAAGTCTTCATTGGGTGAGTTTATTCTCAGCCCTGAACAAAATTGAAAATTAATTATGAGTTAAATATTTGAGATAATAATTAAAAAGCTAAATAAGATTTTGATCCAAGTAACTTATAAAATGGAATTAAGAGTCCAGAAGAAATGGAATATTGACATTTATTTTAACATTTTGGAAATTAACTATAAAAAAATAAACAGCTTTTAATGGGAAACAGACTTATTTTGGCTATCCAGCTAAAGAAACTGCTTGATGTTTTAAAAATTAAAAGGGAGATACAAATGATGAGCCAGGAGAATGACCTGGAAAATGTTTTCTTATTGCATCTACATAAGAAGCTTGTTAAAGTCTTGAGGAAATATGTTAGACAGGATAAAGAAGAATTGAAGAAAAATGAAATCCTATAATAATATTTGATTGAATTAAAAGGAAGGAATATAAAACTGGTTCATCTGATCAAGGTCAAAATAAGACTTTTTTTTAATGTTCTGGAAAAATGTTAATGTTTTTTTTTTCTGACACCAAGATTGAATGTATTTGATATCTGCAGAAGAGATAACACTCTAGAAATATTTGCTGCTTTTAGGATTCAGACTTAATTTCTTTTAGGAATCACACTTCATTTCTAAGGATCTCAGGGCATCAAAATTGTAAAATGTCTGCTTTCTAGACATATATAAAATAGATATGTCTGGATCCAGATATTATAATTCTATAGATGAAGGCTCCTTTCATTCAATGATGTAATTATTTTTTCTGGAGAATCTTCTACTTGAAGAGATGAGGCAATTTTGGTTTATTCCCAGTTCTCTTCTTCAGTCCCAATGATTTCCAATTATTTGTGAAGGGTTCCAAGCTTTCAGAAACATGTTTTAGGGAGCAGGAAAGTATAGGAAGAGGAAAAAATAAGAGATAATTATTTTCCCTTCCCTTTCCAACAGTGTGTCTCATCAACAAAACTGATCTAATTAATAAGCAGAAATAATTCAAGTTTTTCCAGCTCACCAATTTGATGTCATTCATTATCTATCTATCTATCTATCTATCTATCTATCTATCTATCTATCTATCTATCTATCTATCTATCTGCCTGTCTACCTACCTACCTACCTACCTATCATCTTTCATATTACCATCTTATAAATTCAGAATAAACAAAAACAACATAACAATAAAACCCATTTCTTTTTCCATAAAAGCAGCATAAAACCACTTAATTCATTATAACATGGACATGAACACTTACATCTACAGGTTTGCCATCTAAATAATGAGTAGCAATGAGAATCTTTCCTTGAATGTCAGGTCTAGCTTTTTCCTCAGTCATCCTTTGTTCAGTTAAGCTGCAGTCCACATAAAGAGAAATCTTCCTTGATTGTACACTGATGCCAATCTTATGCCATTGACGGTCAAAGATAGGATAGATTTTGCGGCTTTTAAAGACATAATGCAGGGAGTTCTGCTGGGTGGGTTGCATGACATACTCTATATATTTTTTTAAACCATCAACTGAGATGTAAACCTAAACAAAAATACACACACACACAAATTTCAGTGCTTTTGAAATGAAATAAATTGCAAGACAGTGAAGAAGACAATAAAATCATAGAAGTCAGTACATGCTCATCATGTTTAGAATCACAGGTCAAGTTCTCTCAGATAGTGACACTTTCTCACCTCCTCCTTCCTGATGCCACCATTCAGCCCTCCAAAAGCTACCCAGAAGAGCAGGGGACTTTACAGTAGCCATAGCACTTAGATTTATATAATGCCCCACATAGCACTCTCTGCATGATTTACAATATCAGCATATTGCCCCCAACAATCTGGCTCCTCATTTACCAACCTCAGAAGGATGGAAGACTGAGTCAACCTTTAGCCCCATCAGGATCAAACTCCAAGCTGTGGGCAAAGTTTGCCTACAATACTGAATTCTAACTATTGCACCACAAGGGCTCCAGGAAGAAATGGGGTGGGATGGGATGTACTAAACTATTAAAATTTAAACAATTTTTCAATTGATGGAAGTCCAACCTGACACATCTGGATGCATCTTTTACTTGTTTAAGCTTTCTGAATCTGTCTTTTGCATATTTATCCATGCGACCTTGTCATTAAGCATCAAATTCCAATCTTTCATATTATTGGTTTTTTTTATTTGCTATATTCTATATTTTATTTGCTATATTCTTTCAATATTCTTCAAACCAAAAGACAAAATGTTAACATAGAATAGAACAGAAT